GTTTCACTCTTGGCGAGCGAGTATATATACGGATCTTTACAGTGAGAAATGGCGAGGACAGACTTCGCAATATACGTCACATATCAGAATCGAATATCGGACACGTCACAGATATATCTTGTAACCTCATAAATCCTTCACACTTTTTCAATAAGTCTGATAATGGGTATACGAAAGAGACAAGTAGACAGGACCAACCACGAAACCCTCATCCGAAAAATAACAACTATAGCAGAGTTGTCAAGCCCCGAAACATCATCATCACAGATGATTTCTCCATCAGGTAGGTTTCTTAGATTAACGTGACTGATTTACCAAGGGAATGAAAAACTTGAACAATGTAAGATAAAAAATGTGGAGGGGGTATACTCAATGATCTGAGTGCGCTTGACTTGGTGAACAACTAGCTGTGAAACACCACGTGTGATGATAGGCCGACATTTAGGCACAACATTTGCAGTCACGGCCGCCACACTGCCTAAAGACGTCCTGGCAGAAATCTGTGATATAATGCAAGTCCTTACAAAACCGGCAACGATGACAAAGCTCACTAACTCCGAGATTGTTTGGCGAGTCTTCAAATTCGGACAAATGATCATCATCAACCATCTTCATGTCAGAGTTGAACTCCGCAGTATCATCCACGTGAGGATCACCGTTGATAACACCCAAGGTCAGCACGACAGCCAGAACGAAGAGTAGTTTCATATGAGCTTGAAAATATTGATAAGCACAGAATGGCTGGAACGCCGCAGAGATACTGGCAATGTCAGTCTGACATTGAAACATGACTCGACTTGTGCGGCGGCATAAGGTGTGCCGCATCGTGCGGCCTACACAGAGTGTGAGCACACAGAAAGACTCAGTGAGTGCTACTCACTTCACTGGTCATTGAGTGACCGTCACTCTCAACGATGATGTCAGGAACCGTCGACTTCTTGGTCAAGATACCCCTGCCAGAGATGAAAGAGAAGCTCCTTCCCTAACTTGGATATTCCAACACCGGAACCGTGACCTGAGATCGTCACATCGTCAGTGTTCAAGAAACGTGTTACCCTATTCAAGTTTCACTCACCTCTGCATGTGTGATGAACGTTTTTAACACGAGTTCCACTATGAACCTTTAACTACGGGGATGACGACTTGAGACGCTGCCCGCGACGGTCCGTCGCCGACGGACCTGATAGCGGTTATGGTAGCTCAGCTCCCGTAGCTGGGAACTAGTGGAACTTCTGCCTGCGTTCTCATGAATGGTCACGCCTACACAGTTCACGTTTGGCTGTGCTAATGCAGGCACACAATCCTTACTCGCATGATGGACAGTTAACGAGGGTCTTCGCCTGCAACCCAGGGCCTGGATATCGAGTATAGATCGAAGCTCACCAATAGTCTCGGTTTATGTGTTGGGCGTTACTAATCGGCTCAAGTAGGACGATGTCGTGCACAAAAGGACGTTATCAGATGAGAGAGATGACTCCAATTCACGTGACGGCAATATTGCATTCAAAGAGGAAAACGTGGATATACCAGATAGCTCGAAGTTCTTGGATCAGTATTCGATGCAGATGCAGGATCAGCCCAAAAATTATGAGTCTGGGTATTGAATCATATGTCATACGCGTGATATTGGGTATGAACTAAGATTAGTAACCTCGAATTAGTACCGGTGCCGACAAGGAAGTCTCTGTTACAGTCTACGGTAGAGTCTGACTTCGCCAGAATCGTAGATGCTCAGGCAGGAGTCGTTGAGATCTCGGAAAGATTGCCCGATCCCGAACGAATCTTCACTTTGGTAGACAGGAATTCCAACTTGGAACTTCCAAGGAAGACTTCGTGGGTATTGGTACAACTCGAGTGGATAGAGAGATGATTACCGCACTTTTCGACGCATGTCCAGTTGGTATGAGTCCTAGAAGAGCGGTGGAACTCATTATTGGCGAGACATGTACCAACCAACGAAGATTATCGTGATCAGTCACGATTGTGAAGCGACGTCCATATAGATAGTAGTACCGGCGCTGAACAAGCGCCCACAAGACGGCAAGTAGTTCTATCTGCTCTGTAGACCACTTACTCTCACCCGATGACAGAGCTCGACCTGGAAACTTGATGGGAAGCTCCACGCCGTGTAGTAGTAGTAGTAGTAGTAGTAGTAGTAGTAGTAGTAGTAGTAGTAGTAGTCTGCTACTACTAGTAGTGGTAGTGGTAGTAGTAAGCAATCGATACCATCGTGGACGGTATGCTCAGTATTCGGAACACTGTGTTCCTATTTATCTAGAAAGTCTTCCTAGGATCGATGTCGTCGTGAGAGTTCTTCGGAATTGAGGTTGGTGTGGAGAAGTACGAGTGTTGAAATAGGTCTATTATGAGAGTCTGGTGGAGTAGTAGTAATAAAGACTTCTGCGGAATCACATAGCTGTAGAGTTGATGTGTTGAGGCACGTGAGGCTCCCGCCTACTCAGACTGTCGAACGCTGCTCGCCATCGTATAGACAAGCAAACAGAATACTTGAGTTTAATGCCTAGGGCGTGTACACGCAGCTGCAGAATTAGTGCAATACTCAATCTGTAACGTCTTCGGAGCATTTGTCCAGGGCGAGCGAGTATTCCGTGGCAATGGTGGGTTGGGTTATGAAAATATGCCAATATAGCCTTCGTAGAGCATGTAATGGTACTATTATGTGGGAGGAATGGGAGGTGTGGTATGATGAAGGTGTTTGCTACTTGTTGTTCTAGTGCATGGATACATCATCAGCTAACAGAGTTGTTGAGGAGGGTGAGGGACGGTCGGATGGAGAGGTACTATTGGGAAGGTGCTCATCGTGTGTAGTTATAGTAAAGGGAGATCTATATGGACTATCAATGGCGAATCTTTCCAGGCTAGGTTGCCGGGTTTAGATGCGGATTAGGCCCGCTTCCGACCACATTCTTAGAAACGTGGCCAGCTGTTTCCGGGTTCGGTGATATGCGTGCATAAACTATGACCATTGCGGATAGAAATGGTTGGGAGAGTGTCGCAATTACAAGTCTAGAGTTTCGTCGGTAGATATGTTTCGGGTGTTGGCGTCATATTCCTTATTCATCCACATATTTATTCTTAGTCGTGAGTTCGCGATATTCGTCGTTTGGTGGTGATGGAGTGAAATCTGTGTTTTGTATGTATATTGTTATATAGGAGTTTGATAAGAATGCCAGGGCGAGATGGCCTATTTGGTGAACTGTTTTTTCATTCTGGAGGGGTTGCCTTTTAGATGCGGCCATCCAGTGCACCGGAGGACATCGAACTCGGAGATCTTCATCAGGAGGCGGCAACGCCGAAGTCTTCTTCAATGGTGAAAGGGATGATCGTTCGTATTGATTTCATGACGTTGTTGTCAATTTACACGGGAGTTTGATTTGGTGGAAAAAATTTCATTACGAATTATGTGTTATATTCGATAATTGTTAGCGAGTACATTTGCTCCCCCTTGCTGAAGGGCGGGAGGTGGGAAAATGTTATAGTAGTTAGCTTGGGCAATACTGTTTGTTATACGGGATTATGCCTGATGTTTTTGTCCAGAGAGTTTTGGGGAAAATTATTGTCCGCTTTTGTTAGAAGGGGGAGGGGAGAGAATCGGTTGAGGAGGAGACAACGGCACCCCAAGAGAGAGAACAGGAACAACAAACGATATTTGAAAGAGTGTAAGTGTTAAATGAGGTGGTGAAGGAGGGCATTGTGGTTGAAGCTGTCACGGAGGAGAGTTACTGAAGTTTGTTTGGGTGTCTATGGAGTTCCGTAGAGTATCGGAATAATTTACCCCCGTTTATGTGCTACATCGTCTGGGGGAATATTGTGAATATCGGATGCGACTCGAGGGCATTCGTATGGCTGAGCATCTCTATTGTTGGCCGTTGTTGATGGGCGTGATTGATTTGGTGGGTTTATTACGGAATATGGTATGGATGCCCGCGCTGGGGATCGAACCTGGGTCGTCATTGCCAGATATAATTTGCTCAACTTTGCAATGGGTAGAGGTAGCCCTACCACTCCAGAGGGAAGTTCCCGAGAAGAGGAGGTTAGCACTGCTTCTGATGATTCTGAAGATGATTATGATGATGAGGAGGAAGAGAATGGAAATGAACAGGTCCGGAAGGAGGGGGGGTCTCGTCAGTGCTATGGTTTCAATTATTGCTGAATTTGCGGGCAGGCGCCTTCAGCGGTTGTCAATATGGAGTTAATCAGCTCGGATCAGTTGTTGTTATTGGCGTATCGTAATGTGTAGGATGATGGTGAATTGAAGGAAGTGTGGTATGATTCAAAATTGTGGTGGTCTGTGAGCGTTGGGTGAAATATTAGAGTGTGAGAGTGATGCAGAGATTTGACGAGGTGGAATAATCTGCAAAGAATTTAGTTTTGATATTTTTTGTCTTACAGGCCGATCCAAACCGAGTTGTGAAGGGTGGAGGTTGGGGACAGGGCTCGAGTGCAGTCGTGAGCAAGCAGCAAGGAGTGGTCGGAGCTGTTTTCGCCCTGGTTAAATCGTTTATTGGAATTGGTAACAACGTGGGGTGGTCGATGGGGGGGGGGGGTGCACTTGTACGAATCGGCGCTGTTTTCGCGCCGGTTAAATCGTTCATTGGAATTGGTAATAACGTAGGATAGAGTGTAGAGAGGTGGATTTGTACGAATCAGACTGTTTTCGCGTTGGTTAAATCGTTCGGTTATACTGTGGGGTAGTTGGCAGAGGATGTGGACTTGTACGAAAGTATTTTTAAATGGTTTGTTGGCTTGGCCGTTCTGGAAGCTTCCGTAGAGTAATGAGTGGGAGTAGATGCACCGAGTGGAGCGTAAGTAGTTTACGGGAAATGTGGGAGAAGTGTGGTATGAATTAATGATGTTCAAAGTTCATCTTGTTTGGAGAGGGATCGATTCTGTATGCTTCTGGACTGTTCATGCAGGTGTATTATCGTTACCATTCGCCATGATGAAAGGGGGGTATATAGGAGGTCCTGTGGGGCTGGCAGTAATAGCGATCATAGCTCACCATTGCATGCAGCTCCTATTGGAAACTAGTCGGCTGGTAAACGGAAGGTCCTGGGTTCGATTCCTGGTAGCGGCATGTTGTTGTTAACTCGCTGTAATATGTTACATGACTTTCTTTAATAGCTTGGCATTAGTCTGGGCCAGATCTGAATCTCAATCGTCGTTTTCGATGTGATTGGCATTGATGCTATATTGCGTTCACGGACGAATAAATGGTCGATATGAGTGAATTTTAATCGTGAATAGTATCTTATTATAAGTTAGCGACATTAGTGCTAAATTGGGCAGTTTTTGGTAACGTTCACATGATAGTTGTTGTGTAGGTTGCCGTAGCACAGGAGAGCTCAGCGGCGGGAAAAGCTGCGGCGAGTCAGAGATTGTCGTTTGGAATGCTCGGAAAATATGTGAGTTTGATAGTGTTGAAGGAGTCCTGTGCATCATCGCTCCGCTGTGTTTTTGATGATCAGGTTATCGGAAAATGGGGGAAAGTTGTTGTTGATTATTCCCTCCTGGCATCACAGATGGGATTTTGCGTTGCGTATATAATATTCATAGCCGCTAACCTTTCGGACGTTATCAAGCACGAGACGGGAAGCGATTATGTGTCACAACGAGTGTTGGCCATTTGTAGGTTTGGGTGGTAGGAATTGTTGTTTTTGGTGTTCTCATTAAAGAGAGCATAAAATTCTGGGTGTCGACGTGCAAAGGGCCGTGATATCATGAATTTTTATAGCCAGGAATTAGAGCATTAGAAAGCCGTTTTCCAGTTTTACATAAATTATGGGGGTAGGGTCCTATTAATATCGATCAGACACTTATGTGTGCATCGCTCCGCTAGACTCCACTATATTCATAAATGTTTTGTGGTGGTGCTTTCTGTGATATCCGATGAGGTGATTTTTTAATTGATTCCTACGCTGAAGTACAGTTTCGGAATTACTCCTCAATATTGTATCTCTCTTACGATATGTTTGCCTCGTTGAAGAATAGTGAATAATCGTCCTTGATGAGTGTGTGTTTATTTACGCGTTTGGGCCGTTTTTACTCGAGTAAAAACGTCTGAGTCAGGTTGCGTGTTGCTGCTGATACCAATAGCGTGGTTGAAGAACCTGAAAGCATTGAAGATTCCGACGTTGATGGCGAATTTAGCGCTCATTGTAAGCCTTAATTTTGTCACTGCGCCACGAAATTCGAGTGACGCTTCTGTCCTTGGCGTCAGGCTGGGATCTTGTGGGTCTTCTATTGCGCGGTTGTGCATTTGCCTTATACCGAATTCTCGGAGCTTCACGTCGTCAATTTGTATGAGTAAGTGATTGGGACGATTGCGTGGGTGAAAGTTTCCACTTGCGGATTTTTTCGCTCACTTTCCGCTTAGCCGTTTTTATCAACGTTTCGGCTCTAAAAATTTTAAGCGAGACATACAGTTACACGTTCTGACAATGTTATTATGGTGTGGTATGTCACATAGTCATTTCCACATACCGTAAGTGGAAATGACTGTGTACTGCGAGCGTCACGCGCCACGAAATTATGTCTCGTTATGAAGGTACCCTGTTTTCTTCGGTCTGGCGGTGTTCTCTTTTGAAGGCATAGGATTGGTACTCCCCATACAGCAGAGCATGAAGGAGCCTGAGAAACTACCACACCTTCTCAAGATCATCATGATTTGTATCACTAGTAAGATTGGGAATCTTGCAATCTTGCATTTCCTCAACGCCGTTTGGTCAGGTGGGTTCATAGTATTTGGCGTTACTTGTTACATATCGTATGGCCCTGATACCAAGTCGATGATCACTTTCAACCTTCCTGTACATAAACTCACTTCTGTAAGTACTTTTTTCTGCAGTTTTGTGCGGATTTTCTTTTAAAGAAAGACGAAAATTTCCCATAATTTTAATGGGAAAATTGATGCATAATCTGAATTGAAAATGGCAATGATTAGAGACGATCTCTGTTGGTTAATTGCTCTTCAAAAAAGGATGGTGCTGCGGCCATTGGTTAATTGGGAAAATGAGGCATATTTTCCGGAAAATTATAATATTTTTTGTTTTCTCTTTTCAGTTCCTGCGCCTATTCTACTGTGTGGGTATATTTTTCACGTATCCTATCATGATGTTCCCGGTGTTCCAATTGATAGAGCACAAGTGGCAGGGGTTCTTCGCCTCCCAGGAGGATGCTGGTCGTCGCCATCAGATGGTCTTCCGAGCATGCTTGGTCCTCACTTCGGGGGTTATTGCTCTAATGGGAATGAACGTGCCCAACTTTGGCCTCTATCTCTCTCTGATTGGGAGTGTCTGTTGTAAGTGGTGATGGAGGTCCCGAGTTCGATTCCTGGTGGGAGTATATGGAAAATAGCTGCTTATCTGGTGCGCGATATCAATCGGTTGATGAATAACTTCTGGGCGCGCGAGATTTCATTGCGTAGGTACACTGCTGGCGTTCATTCTACCGGCGTTATTCCATCTTAATCGACCAGGGAAGAGAATGGAAAATGATGAAGGGCGAATTCGGGCAGATCGGATCGATAAAATTATCATCGCTTTCGGAGTTCTCGCCGGGCTGGTCAGCTTCTCATTCACACTGAGAAGTTTCTTTACAGAAGAGCAAGAGGCCACAGCCAAGGTTGCGGCGTGAAAGATACCAAAATACGCACAGGGAATTTTTTATCTGCTTGATTGTATCATCTTCTCAAAGTTTGTTCATAGTATTCCCAATGGACGTGTTGAGTTATCAGTTGGGAAGGGAAGGATGATGATTTTGTGGCGCGCGAATGTTGTCATCATCATCGATACCGAATATACCAACATCCCTCGGCCGAGGGTGTTTGCTGGTTCTATGGAGTGTTTGAGTAAATTTGAGGCGAATGAGACGGGAATAATTCTTAGATTGAAAAGAAGATATGTTACAGCTGAGAGAGTGTTCGGTCATTAGTCCTGCAGCTTTGTGGACGTCCGATACACTTCTTTCTCTAGTCTAGGCATTCGTGATTGGGATTGGTTTCTAGCATGCAAACTCTATGTACTGCGGCTCTTCATGGTTTTGCAATGTTCATGCTGAAGTGTGTGTGTGTGTGTGTGTGTGTGTGTGTGTGTGTTAGTTTAAAGTCCGACGCCCTAGGGCTTGGTCAAAATTGTTGTAACCATGGTGAGTAGAGTAACAGCTGGGGATGACTAGTTACTGTAACAAATTGTGTCGGCATAACAGTTTGGAAGGAAGAACACTGAATTGACCGAGGGTACCTCGTGGATTAACCCACGAAGGATATTCATGCTGTAGTGCTTGAGAAAAAGGTGTTGATGGACTCCGGAGCGACTCAAAGAGGACTCAAAAGCGAACGACTAAAAAACTGACAAGGGTGGAACCGGGAGATAGAATGGGGTGCGCAATTATGCAAGGCTTGTGATGTTCCATCACTCCTTGCGATCTCGACCGTCCTTGATTGTTCCTAACTATTCTAGTATATTCCTATGTGCACGCACAAGGAAGACCGTTTCGTTGTGTGATAGCTACGCTAGTAGCGTACGCAACCTTAGTAATCAAAGTAAGAAGTATACGTATTAAGTCTCCAAGCTTTAGGAGACATCGTGATCGACTAAGCTTTATCTATTACTGCCGCTTGGTTGTGTTCTACCGACAAGTTGTTCGAGAAGTTGCTATATTATCGTATTGGAACACGACATCTTTTACCGGGATCTGATAAACAATTAGTATGGCATCCGGATCCCTACCTTATAGACGGTATATCAAGATACCGGGTCGTCTTAATTATGTGCCTGTTAATGTGGTTGACCGAGATGAGTATCATCATGGGTTGTTTATCCTGGTGGAGGCTACACTAGGTCCAGCTGCTGGCCCACTGCTGGGAGATAAGGTTATGTTTTACGTTATTGGCCATGGTCATTATGTTGGCGCATGGATTCCTGATGGTTACAAATCTACATGGAAACTTACCGCAGAGACGGTTCCGGGTGGTGTGGGAAGAATTCTTGAGGCATCAAGACCTCCGCTGACTGCTGACGATCTACTGTCCGATCTGGTTATACCTCCGCTAGAAGGAGTATTGGAGATGCCTGCATCGACTGTGCTTATGAACACTAGGGATTCGAGCATCCAGGCTACCGACAACGAGAGCGAGGAGGGTACCAATACTAGAGGCCTTAACGCTCAAGTCATGGATGATGAGGGTAACAAAGCGATCGGGCCTACGGGCGGAGTGCAACCGCAATTACTTACCCCATCGTTTGGCGGCTTAGCATCGTTCAGCGGTGCTGCGACTCCTCAGGGTGATGCTCGCTCCTCCTCTACTGCAGTTGAGGCTGAGACATTAACGAGAATGGATACACATGGGCAACAAGCTGCTCTTCGAGACCCTACCGGTTTGTCTCTCGTAAGGAATGATGGTCTTCAAAGTCTTAACCACCAGCTGCAAGGCGGCACCTCTCCCTCCGCTCCCACGATTTGGTTCCCCCATGGTACGTCTCACATAAACACCTATCCGCCAGTATATCCGGTTGATTCTTCACCTTCTACGCGAGAGCTGCCGCTTTCGAACGGTTCTGTATATGGAGTCAGTGGTCAGGGAGGTATCTCTTACGTGCCTCAGAACATGGGATACCCTACCGCTGCATACCCTACCTCTGCATATCCTACCGCTGCATATCCTATCATGGCGTATAATTCAGCTGGTACTCCTTCCACTAACGTGGCGGATATGTTTCCTAATGTGCCGACTTCCACCTATGCTGATCCATCCCAGAGCAACGTGCCCTCAGCTACCTTTCATCCGAATCCCTCGTTGGCGCTATCGTCTGCGACTCAACGACCACCTCATATTGATGTGCCGGTATCACCAATGGACCTACGACATATTCAACGCCAAGTGAATGGGACCCCTATAATCGCTGGTGGTATCTTCAAAGGGAATCGAGATGTGAGGCCCGTTAATCTGGTTAAGCGTCGTATAGAAGAAGCCGTTTCGAGTTATGCTGGAGATGCTGTCTTCTATTACTATTATTTGAGAAGAACAGTAGAGGCTGATGTTATTGAGAACCTACTACTTCCTGTTCCGTCTGGGACACGATCCTCCTATGCTATGATAGTGAACCTTTTTTGGGCACGGTTGACTGTTGCGATTGACCCGGATGGCGAGACCTCTAAGATTCTTGCTGCTTGGAATGCTCTTACCATGCAAGGTGAAGAGAGTTTTGTGGACTTTCTCGCCAAATTTGAGAGTGCTCAGAGAGCACTCGCAGCTGTTGGTAATCCTATGACGCCTGAGTTGGCCAAGCAGGCTCTGCTCTCGAAGATAACGCCTACCTTGCAGCAGTTTGCCAAGACTCATCAGTTGGATAACTACAGTCGTCTTATATGCAGGATTACATTAGAGGACCGAGAACGTCGTCAGCAACAACCACATCGATCTCGCTTGGCTGGCCGTAGCACTGCATCTGAGGTGAGCGGCATAGAGGAGACCACTGAAGTTGCTGCGAATTCGATTGCTGTGAACCAGCCCACTTGTCGAAGATGTGGCAAGGCTAATCATCTTGCTAAGGATTGCCACCAAAGAGAACCAGAGTTTATGTCTAAACGATGCAAGCGATGTGGTCGACGACACTTGGTATCGGCCTGTTCCTTACCATCCGATGTTCTCTGTACCCGCTGTCATGGTATTGGTCACACCTGCGTTATTTGTCCTTATCCTTGGAAGTCCGACTTCAACCAGTCCAATGGTAATAATACGAAAGGTGCCTCCCGAGACGGAACCGTTGAGCATGTGAAGCCGACGCCATCAACGTCTGCAGCGTCTACTCCATCGGGTCTCCAGCAGTTAGCTTATAACTTCGAGGTGGATGGTTCTGAATCATCGAAGATCGGTGATGTGCATCACGACTGTCAAGAAATTGGTAACTACCTCTCAACCACAAGTCCACATCAAGTGTCGTTTTTATTGTTTGATAAAAATGCGTCTCAGACGAAGGTGGTGAGTGGTCTTCTCGACACAGGGGCAGCGAAGAGCTGTCTCTCGAGGGCCTATTTCGAGCAGCTGAAGGCCGAAGGTTATGTACATCAAGAAGTTCCAGTTACTAATACTTATATCCGAGCTGCTAACAGTACTCGTACACCTATTACTACATCCGTGGTTTTGAAGTTGAGGTTTGTTACTCCGATATGCGATGGTGCTAGATCCCAACCACAACCCCTACCGTATGTCTTTTACGTATGTGATGCTCTTTCTCGTCCTGTTATATTCTCTACTGACGTCTGCGGTCAATCCGTGACGGGAGAAGCTACTCTCTGGCGTCTGGAAGGAGGCAGTAGCTCTCAGATAGCTGGGGGACTACGTATCTCGGCAGAGACCTTCCGGCAATTGGTTAAGGTCTGTAGACTCGATGGTGAGGCCGATCTGTACAAGTTCCTCAATGAGTACTCCTCGTCACGTGCTGATAATCAACAGATTGACTCGTTCACTCCATTCGCAACGTGCATCACCAGTGAAGATCATGATAGCTCCAAACCGTCCACTTATGCTGAGGCTGATCTAAATGGGAAAGTGTCTTCGCCTCAAAGTGTACTACAAGCCCAGATGGGTACTGGTGCGACAGTTGATGACAGTTGTTTAGAAGTCCAATGGCATGATCTATGCAGTGAAGATATCTTGGATTTTAACCTCTGCTGGCCATCGCTCGATCCGGTTACGAATGAGACCAACAGCGGCGATGCAACATGGCCTCCTATCGACTATGATCTATGCACTGAAGACGACATCACCTATGCAACGACAAAGGCTGATGGTCAGAAGAGAGGGTTCTATACTCTACCGTGGAAATCTGAAGCGCGCCCACAGCCCAATGTTATTACCGAGCTGCACAAGAACCGGAGTCTATGTGTGAGGTTAGCGAAGAGAGGCGTACTTGCGGCTTACTCGGGCGTTATTGATGATATGCTTGCTAAAGGATATATATTCGAGGTGCCAATAAGCACTCTCGTTCGGCATAGATGCCATTGTATTTATCATTTTCCGATCCTCAATGCATCCTCTACGAGCCCCATCCGACCTGTTTGGGATTGTCGGAATATCAACCGCTACCTCAACGCGTCCCCTACCTCTCCTTCGCATTGCAGTACCCTAAGTCACCTGCTTCGGTTCCGAAGGTATCGTTGGGTGTTCGTCACCGATCAGACCCAGGCGTTCTTACAACTTGTACTGCACTATGATGTGAGGAGGTTCGTCTGTTTCATCCATAATGATCGGGCGTTTGTGGTGGCTAGGGTTTTCTTCGGTCTCTCTTGTGCACCATTCTGCTTACAAGACACGGTGGAGAGGCAGCTTCGGCCTGTCGTCGAGTCGCTTGATGGTCAAGAGGCTATCAGCGATAACCATCAAAAGGATTTACCGCTGAGATCAACACCTCTGATCGAGGATTGTGATAGCAAGAAGGAGGGTGAGTTCGGCGATGTAGGTGCTTACATGGATGACGTCGTTGGTGGCTCTGATGATCGTGACACTAGAGATCGCCTCCTCCACGACACCGCATCTGCCTTACGAGCAAAGGGGCTGCAAGATAATGTGGCAAAGCGCATTATCAACTTTTTAGTTGGTGATGATTCTACACGTATTACCCCTATTAGTACTTCCACGAAGAAGGTCCTGGGTTATCTCTATGATGTTGGTGCAGATTGTATCATGGCAGCCTCTCTCACGAAGCTGGTTACTGCGTACCAGAATGGTGTACCTAATAACCGTAAACAACTGAGGTCAACTGTGGCGAAGTTCTATGACCCTCTTGGATTGCTCTTAGAGTTGTCTATGGGTATTAAGCTGATTCTCAACACTATAGACGATATTCCTGATATTCCCGACTCTCTCCCCTTCGACGATTATCCTCGTGATTGTAGTTCTCCCAAGGATATTCATCAGTGGTTCACAACTGTGAGTAGCCAGGTTCCGGTACCTCGACACATATGCTCTCTTAATGGTGAAGGTACCTTATGTGTTTACACTGATGCTACTCTTAGAGCATGGGCATGTGTATGTGAGGTCGGCGAGAATGGAGAGCGTATTTATGCTAGAGGTGGAATCTTTGGTAAAGCGGTATCACCGACCACCTTCAAGGCTCCCCGAGCAGAGCTCTGTGCTGTTCTCCAAGGCCTTCAAACCGTTCAGCTCCTACACTCTCAGTTTCGCCCTTTTGCTAACGTTGTCATTCTTACCGATAGCCGTCTCAATTACCATCGTTTGACACGGAAGACTCCTAAGAAGGAATGGACCCCATGGGAAGTTGCTCGGCTACGTAAAGTTCTGGTATTCTACAACCTGCTAACTAAGGCTGGCTCCCACGTTTGGATGGCCCACTGTCCGGGCGCTATTAACCCAGCAGATCATCCATCTCGGGGACGACTACCGCCACCTAGGCAAGATCACTCTTACTATGTTAGACAACATCTCTTTCGTGGTGCTGTTCTACGAGCTGTTCATACGGATGGTGTGTCGGACCATCCTGATGTTCATCTCAAGTCTATCTCACTCCAAATTCCAGACGACTTCAGTTCTTCTACGAGACCGAAGGCCGTGCCTACAAATAGGGCCTATAATCAACGAGCCCAAGACGACGACGATGACGACTACTTCTCCTATGATATCGATGATGTTATAGCGGGAGTGCAACAGTTCGCCCTGTTTGTCGTTGATGCTCAAGGGAGTAGTGTGGAAGAAGTACTACGAGGAGATCATCTACGAGCTCACCAGCTATATCAATACTCTCTGTTATCTAAGGTCTTTAGTGGTTGGCAACTGAATTCCTTGGATGCTATCACTCTTCGCACCCCTGCTCGGGATGTGTTAGAGATCTTAACGAAGAAGGCGCAAGCTACCGACCCCGAGACCATTGAGCTTGTTCGTAAGCTTCGAAGACCTACCGACTATAATGCTCCTCTTCCCCGACATTACCACCAATATCTGGGCCTTGAAGACTGGTCTGACGAGAACGGTGACTCTCAAATCCTTGTTCGACGGAGTAGATATGATGGTGATCAACTTCTACAGCAGTGCATAGTTCCTGCTAGTGAACACCTTCTCCAACGACTTATAACCATCCGCTATCACTGCAAGTATGGTCATGTCGGGAGGGTCCGTACCCGCAATAATATTTCACGCCGCTTCTTCTGGAGAAAGTTGGGTGCTACCGTTAGTAGAACGCTGAGAACATGCACTACTTGTGTCACGCTGCGAGATCAGCGGCGTTTTCAACCTACCGGTGGATCTAAGAAGGTATCCGAGTTGGACATTTGGCAGTACTGTGCTGTCGATGGCCTTGGTCCGTTGAGGGTTAATGAGGATCTGATCGAGAATGATGATAGTGATCCGAGAAAGCGGCTGGCTACTATCAGATTGATTGTTATAAGCGATTTGGTTTCTGGGTTCTGCGATGCAGAATATACGTGTTCCTTTGATAAGGAGGACACGTTATACTCTGTATCTACGATACTATGGCGCCGTGGATGGCGTACATATCTACTCGCTGACAACCATAAAAGCTTCACCAACAAGGATTTTAGGAAAGCTATTTTACAGCATGGCTCTCGACTACTGTTCAGTGGTATGAACAATCCGGCTATGAATGGGGCCACTGAGAGGAGTCACTCGATACTACTCTATACTTTGAAGTGTCTACTCAGGGGACGGAAGCCCGACTTGATGACATTCAAGCTTATCCTACAGAAGGCTCTGTTCTTGGTAAACGTACGTCGACGTTTGGATGCTTGCTGTTCACCATTCTATCTTCTTCATTCCCGCGAACCCCGCATACCTGGCCTGCCCCAGCCTACTGAGGATGACGATGAGCAGAATATGAGTGGTGTTAGTTGCACCAATGCCGACGCTCTGGATGGTCAACCAGTTGAGGTTACCAAGGCTGCTCGACGACAACAACTGCGGTTGACTAAGCTCCGAGACGTTATCCAGGCCTATGAGAAGAATCGTGAGGCGAAGCGATTGAGTGGAAGAGGCTCCCCCCATGCATCGAGATCTCCCTTCAGACCGGGAGATCAGGTGTTCGTTTTCACTCGAAAATCCTCTAAGATGGCCAATAGCTATCGTGGGCCCTATCAAGTTCAGGCTGCAACGACTCATACCCTCGTCGTTAAGACGTCTAGAGGTTATGAAGTTCACTCAGTTAACAACTGCAAATTATGCTCTACTGTTGACGAACAGAACCGACCATTTGTTCGATTATTCGATGATGTTGACGACGACGATGTGGAAGGTTTTATGAAGAAGACTATACTGCTGAAGAGGCAAGAAGCTGCTCGATGTCCTGCTACTACATCACCTATTGCTCAAGATGGCCCGTCTTCTCACTCCCTACCCCCGCCGAAGTCGTCTTCAGGTCCGTCTTCAGGTTCTGGTCCAGTAACCAGAAGTCAGACTGGTACTGTTCCTAAGAAAATATTGATGAGAAATGTGTATGCTTCGTGAACTTACTCCCGTAATTTTTCTGCTTCTATCTTGAGTGTCTGATAACAATAGGTTGTTAGCCAGCTATCTGCAATAGCCTTGTTTGCCGGGGCGGGAGGATGTGATGTTCCATCACTCCTTGCGATCTCGACCGTCCTTGATTGTTCCTAACTATTCTAGTATATTCCTATGTGCACGCACAAGGAAGACCGTTTCGTTGTGTGATAGCTACGCTAGTAGCGTACGCAACCTTAGTAATCAAAGTAAGAAGTATACGTATTAAGTCTCCAAGCTTTAGGAGACATCGTGATCGACTAAGCTTTATCTATTACTGCCGCTTGGTTGTGTTCTACCGACAAGTTGTTCGAGAAGTTGCTATATTATCGTATTGGAACACGACAGGCTTGTACATGGTATAAGTTGAGAAAAACGATCTCGGTGGGACTCGAACCCACAATCTTTGGTTCCGAAGACCAACGCCTTATCCATTAGGCCACGAGACCATACATTGAACTGTCTCGGCGGACCGTATTGGAGAATCCAATATGCAAATTCCCTTAGATTCTCAGACATGTTCGAATCCTCGATTTATTGTAGTCAAACAAGACAGGCCCTGATTCAGGGCCGCCCTGAATTAAACAGTGACGAAACCTGTTTGCTATGGATCTGGCTCTTCTGGGCGAGCGAGAAATACATCGGATGTTCGAACCCCTTCCGATGAAAGAGTTGAGTAGCTGATTGAGTCGCCATAGACTAGTCATTTTAGTGTTGTAATATTGATTGTATTGGTAATGGTGTATACCTTCACGTCTGATCAAGTCCTGCAGGCAATAGTGACGGCAATTGCATGTGCCTTTGCCGGCATACCTGCGATGTTCCCGATTGCACATAAATACATTCAATTCTACATGGTAGGCACTCTACAACCGTCATCGTTGATTGATGATATCTCCTCAGCTCGAGCCTCCTATCTGGGCCGGTTTCAACTCTATACTTGATTTCAAGTCCTGTTTGTTGTTCTTTCTGCGAGGCGTGGTTGGCACTTGGCTTGCCACTGCCATGGGTTGTCTCCTCCACCTGATACTATCTTCTATCTGTGTCGCTTGCGGCATTGAGTACTTCCAAATTTGGGCTATGGTCATCGCCCTTCCCCTGACGTACTTCGTCGCATTGTCCCATCCCGATGCAGGATGTAAACTATCGGAAATCATCAGCTATGTCACGGCGATTATATCCCTGTATGTTCCCATAGCCATCAACATCACAGGGCATCCCTACCTAGAGGCTCTCTGGAACGCCATATTGGTTTCCTATGGTCTCCTATGTGGGTTCGTCCCCGTATTGGTCCTCTATCTCCTCGATTGGCTACCGTCACCATCAGCAAATCCCCTTCAGAAATTCAACTCCGCCACAGCCGACTACTTCGACGTCCTCAGTGCCTACGTTGTGAGCGGCGCCGAGAACCTGTACACCATCGATGCTCATCATATGAGCTACGACAAGTCGCTAGTGGCTGCCAGCGCCTATGTACAGGACGACAAGTTGAGGAGCATCATCTGGCGTATGGCAAGCGCGTTGTATTCGTTGAGAAAATCTATCACGGCGGGCACTTACGATGATGTTATCGTTGAAGCACTATGGAGGCCAATGTCGGCGAGCTTACTAGAATTACGATCTCAGAACCGTGCGGTACTGCGAGCAGCTTCGGGTAACGTCCCAACAGCTGGGGATGTGCCGAATCTTATGTCAACTGCGGTAAGATGCAAAGAGAGTCTGAATGAGGCTTCGATGGTGATGCGGAAGTCCATCAAGATGGGCACAGTGAAGGCGTTGGACACGGAGGGGATCACTAGGTTCCACTTCGCGATAGAGTCAATCTTGAGATACGCTGAGCTGGCAGAAGAGTATTCATCGGTGACGGCTCAGCTGAGGAGACGTGGAGTGGACCAGGACGAGGAAGAGGTGATTCGGGCGGAGCGTAGCTGGGGTAGATGAAATTTTGGGGAGTTCTTGTTGGTTTCCGTACGTGAACTTGTAGAGTAAGTGAGGACACTTCTGAGCTCAACTGGGAAAAGCGAAGATATATTCCCGTAACAACACTGACAGTAAAAACGCGTGATGTGGAATGATCGACAGAACAATAACAGTATCAGAAAATTTTCCGGCTTTTACATCCCGTATTAGGTTCGTTGGTGGTTCGCCTTGTGCACAGCTACGAAGGGGTTGATGTCCTGGGCCAAGACCTGGTGGTCTCGTCCAGTTTTCTATGATGATGGTCAGTCGCGGGCAGAGCATCTCCTGTTCCCTCTGAAGGCTTCCCTAGCTACGACTATCGCTATCATAGTACTCTTTCCATGGGGTAATAGTAACGCGAGTGTCAATCGTAAGTTTCTGTGGATCTACTTGGCAGCATGCTACTGTGTTCTGCCAGTAGCAGGAGCGTGCCTGTTGAAGATTGGTAGAAGGCTTGTCGGCCTCGTTGGTGCTCTCCTGTACGGCCTCATATGTGTGGAGGCGAATCCGTTCAACCACGCGGCGTTCTTTCTGGAGCTCATCATATTGGGTTTTGTCGGAGGCTTTGTCAAGGCGACGCCGTTGAGTTATGCTGGCTCGGTGTTTATACTAACGTGGACGATTGTTGCCTTTACGCCGTCGGTGGCCTTGGGGGAGGCTGAGGAGGACATCCTATGGGGTCTGGGGTGGCGATGTGCCCTCAACTTGGTGGGTATGGGAATCGCCTTTGTATTTTCCTGCGTTTTCTTCCCTGTATACGCCATCTCGAGACTGCAACACGTGTCGGCCTCAGCATTGGAATGTGCTGGTAACAGCATTCAGGATGCCCTTCATCAGTTGGCCAGTGTTGGCTTGGCAGTAGAGGAAGAGGTCGCCTTGGTAGACGGCCGGGAGGAGGTCGGCCGAGAGTTGTCGGGCATCTCGAATCGTCGTGCCTCGCTAGTTGCTGATGCCCATGCGGAGGTGTCTGTGTTTGGCAAGCTCTTCATGAGGGTCGCTTGTACGAAGTGCTTTCAAGTTCAACCATTCATAAGCGAAATAACGACCGCGGCCTTGAGCGCTTATGGAGCAACGACGGCATGTGCGCTGAAGGAGAGCTCATCATCTCAGGGGGCGTTGAAGGCCTTGGGTCCCCATCTCAAAGAGCTTAGTATTGCCCTTGGAAGATCTGAAGAAAGGATGGTAACGGGCATGTCCATTGCCTGCCGAGACGCTACACGGGGAGCGTTAAATGATGATGTTCATGTGGAGATGTTACGGTGTCTTGATGCTCTTGATGAGAGTAGAAGCACCTTAGATGGAGACGATGATGACGGGGCTAGCAGTCTTTCTTATGCTCTCTATTCGCTCTATCTGTTTATCGAGGAATGGGAGTACATCGAGACGTTCTTGTTTGGTCACGACGAGAGCTCTATGAGGGTGGTTGAGCTGCATACTAGAGGTGTACCCGATTTGTCGCCGAATTCGGTGGGAGATGTCGAGACTTGCGACGCTTTCCATGTGTGATTGGCAGTTCATTCGCCATCACAGGTTTATATCGAGGTGGTGACGATCAGAAAATCTGATCGTCTTGTTGTTCTTTTCGGAACCCTTAGTCGGTTGCTAACCTTGAACGTGTTCTGTTTATGCCATTTCAAGAGTTGCGTTATTGAGTTCATCAACCTTCCCGGCTATTATAACCGATGTCGACCGCAAAATTGAACATCCACACTCGATGAAACGTGGGTTTGGAAACAAGCTGAGGTTTAAGTCTTCAGCCCTGAACTCTTCATGAAGAACTGCGCTTGCTGAACTGTGAGTGTAGCATTTGTAGACTTACAAGAGCTTTCCCCTGACAGTCCCATTTCAGTTACAGTGCGGAAGGTGTCAGTTTTTATGCCGGGTGTGGTGGTGGGATAGGTTGAAGAAAGTGCTGAATAATGCCGAATTCTTATAACGCCACTTGTTGGGCAGCTATCTTCGAGGTGAGTAGTACAAACGCACACACTCGCATTGTGTCGAACATGGCGGGTGAGGTGAAGACGGAGCGACAAGCCACTCGCTTCCGGATTTCAACCTGGGATAACGACTCGTTAGCTACGAGTTATGAAAACTCAGATATGCTTTATCACCACAGCAATAATTCTGTCTTGACCACTTATCAGATGAAGATTACTCCGTTAACCACGATGACGCTCTCAAGGTCTCCCCAAATGAATACAGCGCGTATAGTACGTTCATAGTCGTCTCATTAAAAGGAAATACCGGCATTTCAGCGATGGGCTTGGCTCGATTGTGCAGCAATGAAAGTATCACTCACTACTTATGAGGGTACACCCTCTCTTATGAGTCATAAGGAAGGGTAATCGCCCAATACGGCGACGAGTATAGTATTGGCTACAATTATGCGAGGTGTGACACGTGAGTGTCACCAACTAAGCTAAGTGGCATTGATCGTGTTTTACAACCACCCTGACTTCTAACACAAGAGCTTGGATTCAGTAAGGAAGAAACTATTAACAGTATAATCACGCCACCAACTTGTGCCATCATCTACTTATTGTTTCTTCTTATCATCAATGGCACCCTTCTTGTAATCCTTTACCCTCTTCTTGGCAGCCTCTGCCTCAGCCCTCTCCTTATCATGCTTCTCTTGACGGAGCTGTACCATACAACCAATCATTCACTGTGAAGACCGAAGGATCGACTCACTCGATCTTTCTCCTTATCAGCTAAGCGTTCAGCATCGGTCTGAATGTGGCCAAGTAAGAAGGAGTGCATCCCGGCACCAATGAAGCCTCCCAGGAATTGCCAAAAGAGCCGACTTCCTAGTAGATCTGAGCATCAACAACAGCATGAAACGGAGGGAACCTCCAAGGCGCCTCACTAGCATAAGCTTGGTGGTTATCAGATAGTAGCCCTTGAACGCTGGAGCCGACCAACTCGGAAACGGTTGGGATGACTCGACTGTCTTGAATGCAACCAAAGTATATGAGACCTGGACAGGACCGTCCGGACCAACGATCGTGTGCTTGGCTCGTACCTCCAACGATGATGGACTTATGCGGTACTCTTCCCGCGATGGCAAAGGCGATTAGTGCTGATGTGATGGCCTCTAGCGTAACTCCATCAGCTGTTGGGATCTGATAGATTGCGATGCACGATCGTTCCAGAGGCAGTGCCTAGATGACCTTACCACTGCCACAGCAGGCACGCCAGTCGTTTTCGAGAGTAGCCCAGCCACAGCACCTCCGATGAGCGTTGAAGCGAACGCTATTGGAAAGGCACACGGCAAGTGACCAGCCGAGAGGTCTGAGGCAAAGTAGCTGATGACTATGATGTAAACGCGAGGGGCTCACCAGCGACGGTAACTGCAACACGGCTGGGCAGCGCCTCGTACAACACGGCGGCTGCGAGGGCCCCTTTAGTGGGAGTTGCCAGGGAGATGCTGCCCACTGCAAAACTGCTCAACAGCATACCTGAGGGATAGTCATCAATCAGAGTGGCGCACGCAGGGGGAATGCACTCACCCAAGCCGACGTTCCTCGAGCTCAATAGATATGCTGCAGCCAAAGCCACGGACAACAGGAGCAGTCCTGATGCCCACAGAGCGTCACTAAATACCATACCACCAGGAGCTGCCTCCGAAGATGTGAGCATACCCGACCTAAGGCCGGCCCACTGCACTGTGAGACGGCTCACGATGATGTTCAACTGAATGGGCGATGATGAACAACATGATGAAGTATTCACAGAGACATACTGTGAGGGGTTGTAGCAGAATAGATAAGGAGCTCCCATAAGGTGCCTGGCCTGGCAGGGTCGCTACTGCTGTCGACAACAACACTGGGATGAAGGAGCCGGACTGAGGAAGTGACAGTCGAATACTAGAGGGAAGAAGGAGGGCCCTACCAGCATTGGTGCCGTAGCATGAGTGCTATACATGAACAAATAGTGCATCGCTCCGCCGAAAACTGATCCCACGAGTTGCATTATCATAATCAACGTCGCTTGGGAGTGTCGGAACTCTCCGGTGAGCATCCTAAGGAAGATTATAGCGCCGAAAAGAACGAATCATTATTGACAGTTCTGACGCGCATTCACAGAAAGTTCCACAAATTTTTCCAAATTTTATATTTTTTCGAGAAAATTTCAGAAAAGTAATATCGAAATACTTCACTTGTTTCTAAAGACAAGAATGTTCCCAACGGAAGACTTTCGACTACATAGCAGAATAGCAAGACGCTGATGGGAGATCAGAACAACAATTCATTTTGCCTCCCATCATCAGGGGGGGGGGGGATAATTCACATTTAGTGACAATATGGAAATTCCACCTGCCAGGCTCAGCTGCCTCTTATACTTGCGTTTATTATGAAAGAGAACTGATGCTTACCCGAGCATTGTGGTAAAGGTGTTGCCAGTAACCTTCTGTCGCAATGCATAGGTAAGCAGGCACGGTATCAGAGCCACTAGACGTACCTAAACAGCACCACAGATGGGTGGTCTTAACGCGATGTGGAAGAAGTGTGGTATGACATCATCGAAAGTAGTAGCGGCAAAGCCGATGAGCATCGAAGCCGCCGCCTCAGCGACCAACTGGGGCTTCCACGCCTTGGCTAAATGGTAAAATCTAAACTTGGAGAAAATCTCATCAGCGTTGGCGTACCTGAGACACCCATGAGGACCAGAAGACAACTACTTGCCCTTACAGCATGAATGACAGCACGAAGAGTGCGAGCAGCCAGTCTCTCGAGGTCTTCATTTTGGAATACAACATAAGTCCAAAAACTCCGCCCCACGATAAGCACGACAGAACTTGAATAGTGAATGACGCTGACCACATGAGGATGAGGAGGAAGGGAAAGTCAACTACTACAATGATTAGATTCAACGGTAAGGAACTAAAACGACGACTCTCGGTAGCCAACATCCACTGTGACGATGTTGACAGTGAAGGTATGCATGTGTTGGTGACAATATGGAAATTTTGGGAAATTCTCATTGGGTCTGTCTGTACATTTCTACCCGAATTCGTATGTAAACCTCTATAATCAACGAGGAAACTCCTGAGCTCAGCTGATGAGGAAAGCGAACATATATTCCTACTCCAACAGTTAATGCTGTTAACGCGAGCCGCTATAGGAGGCAACCTCTAAACATACAGCTGAGAGGGATCGACAGCATAAGGCAAGTGGGCGCTTTGGCCCATTCAGTTGAGGGTATGTGCTTATAGGACTCCTACAATATCCATACCACTCCAGAAGTTAGAATACCAGTAAGAGTAAAGGAAGACTCTTATTTGAAAGGAGTATCGTCATTGGAGTCGAGTTTCTGAAAAGCTGATAGACACCATATGATATCGTCAGGATCATAGGCTCGATAGTTCAGTTGGATCTGAAACGCACAGGTTCAACCCCGGCACCCGTTTCCTCCTTAGGACTGCTGCTCGTGTCAGTCGAGGCATCATCCATCCTCTCCTTCGTGAAGGCCCTCATGAGGACGCCCAAAACCGATACCTTTTCCCTCCAAATTCGCCGCTCCTCCCCGACTCAGCCAAAGCACACGAGCCCGTCTGAGTCCTTTTCCTCGAAATCATCATCATCGAAATATCGCTGCTCCAACGACGAGAGCGGGCGAATCTCCATGTGCAAGAAAACAACCTGTTCTGCATCTCGCCAAACCGATGCAACGATACACCCGTGATGAGTGTGGAAACGTTAATGTGCTCTCTCTCGATACGTATAGGAACAACAACAACTGCTACTAACTGCGCCCTCCTGATCTCTTCTTCTCCATACCTTTCTTGATACGCGCTAGTTGACGTTTGGTCTCCGAGTTAGGCAGTTCCTCTATATTGTAGTAGCCTGGTGCCAACTCGAGCAGCCACTCCCCTTTTATCTAACATCAATGCACTGCTCATCCCTCTACTATTACACAGGCTCGAGACTCGCAACAGCTTCGCTCCGCCGCCGGTGTTTTCCCGATTATTACCGTCATAACGGTCCTGATGTAGTTCTTAGCCGTCAATACCAACTCATGGTAGAGTACCCATTCCGGTTTGTGCTGAATGACAGTAGAAGGATGTAGCATCACCTGAAAAAATACAGAAAAATGCCCCAACCAGGGATCGAACCAGAGACCTCTTATTACAACTTGATGCTCTCGAGTAGTGAGATATACCCCAGCCTTTTGCAGGTGAGCCACTTGCATGAAGAACCCCGACAGTATACATTTCCTCACGTTATTTGTGAAACTGTAAATAGTGACCTCTCACGAAAGCTAACAGATATGTACTACTCTGGATGGTTCCTCGCCAGACTCGGAGTATTCAGCCCAACTCGATCGGTCAGCCTCTTCAGCTGAGCCCGGACATTCTCCGCTGACTTCATAGTACGATACTGAGGAGCATGATAATTTCATGGCGCGTGACGGTGGCGATGTGTTACATTGATGTAGTTATCCCAACACCATTGGGACATCGCTTTTTCAACGCCATTGCACTGCACCTTATACGCCATATAAGCATCATATCTAACGTCACCAATAAGTATACCCACATTTCCATACCACTCCTTCCCCTACGCCTGCATCAGAGTGAGATGATCGCCATCCATATGCACAAACTTCTGCTTAGCCGCATCGGCCTCCTGCTGGGCCTCCTTCGGTCGGAGGAAGCACTGTGGTACCGAGAGCATTGCTATGATAGTTATCGCCTCCTCAGTACAGTGGAACCTGATTTCAACGAATTACGGTATGGCACAGACTAACAACGCACTACCGGCCACTTCGTAATAATACGGCAGCCATCTGAGGCTCCACAGGGAAGTCGGCCATAGTCCTGCCGAATTCAGTGAGGTCTCCCTCCTCATCGAGGGCCCCTAGGTATACGAGGGTCTCCAAGGCTCGCATCATGGTCTCGGGGGCTGGGGGGTCCATGAAGTCGAAGTGCACCTGGGGAGGCCGCAGGTTCGATTCTTGGCGCCGACATATTTCTCGCTTACAAGATCGTCGATCCCGAGCTTCTTCAGCGTCAAAACGACAGATGAGAGGTTCGAACGCAGGATCTCGGGGAAGGTCGAAGGCTGCAGATCTCCGTAACTATTATACCAAATCTTCCACAATCTTCTACCCACTTCCAAATCCACCTACGCATTCTCCGTATACAGACGGAAGCATTTGCCTGGCCGGGTACGACCAGCCCGACCCGCCCTCTGCTGAGCTGAGGCCTGTGAGATCGGCGACACCAACAATGACTCCATCCTGGTGCGGGGGTTGAACACTTTCTAAAACAGCGGAGTTTCACCACCCTAGTGATATGAAACACACTAGTGAAAATGTATTTCGCGACTACTGCATATCACCGCGAATATCGCGTTCACGTAATACAAGAGAAACTCCATTGAACGCGTACACATAAACCATCACAGCAACGAAAACCCCTCCGCTAACACCCCTTCCAAAACGAGTACGATAGAGGGCATCCAAAGGGGTGTTTCGTGAATGCTCTACGCCATTCCCCCCTCTCTCGAAGTCCTCGTTGGACACAGTTTCAAACTATGCATATCCTACACAAGTACACAGTACAACAGTGGAGTTTCACAACCCGTTTTACATGAAGTGGTGTGAAACTCTGCGAAAAACGCGATATTCGCGGTGATATGTAGTAGTCGTGAAATGATTATGTTGTAAAAGGGTATACTGTACAGTCTTAGTGCTGTAAGGCTGTACACACTCGTACACAGTGTGAAAGACCGATAACTCACCTGTTTAGAGAATCCCGGATCAACGACATAGACAATACCATCTATAGTGATGGAGGTTTCTGCCACATTAGTGGCCACAACCACCTTCCGGCCGGGCGGACCTCCTTCGTATCTCGGTGGTGGAGCCTCCTCGAAGATCTTCTGCTGCTGTCGAGGAGGTAGACTAGAGTAGAGTGGGACCACTAGGAGCTCGCCGTGTTCCCTCATAGTTCGCATGGAAGCTGTACGAAGCTGCTTACAGGCGTTCTCAATTTCCTGAAAATCAAAAAACACCCCTTCTAAGAATCGAACCCACAGCCTGTATATGACGAGCACTGAAACCTACCGCTACACTAATTTCACCACTCCTATTACCTCTTCTCCTGTGAGGAACAGTAGTATATCACCACTTCCAGCCGGCTCTTCCGTATGTATATACACTACAGTTTGGACGGCCGACTCGAAATAGTCCTTCTGCGACTCGGGAGAATAAAAGATCTCAACAGGATAGGTTCGGCCGGGGACCTGAGTCACACTCCTCCTCCTCGACGAGTTAGAAAAGGAGTGGTATGAGTTACCTTCAACAGAGGAGCGTTGTAGAAGTACTTGCCGAAAGCCTCTGCCTCCAAAGTAGCACTCATCACTACTACTTTCAAGTCGGGCCGATTGGGAAGAATCTGCCATTAAAATGCACTATGTGCGGCTCGAACCCGGGACCTACCTCCTTGAGCAGACCGAAGAGCACATCAGTAGCTAGTGTCCTTTCATGAGCCTCATCCAGCATTATAACGTTATAGCGACTGAGCTTGTTATCTAGCTGTGCCTCTCGTAGGAGCATACCATCCGTCATATACTTCAGCATTGTATTAGGACCCGTCTGGTCCTCAAACCTAAACACACTCACATCATTATTACCGTCATCATCGACTGCTCTTACCTGATAGTAAAACCGACCTGTTCCCCAAGGGTGACGTCCATCTCTTGGGCGACACGCTGAGCGACACTCATAGCCGCGACCCGTCGAGGTTGAGTGCATGCAATCTGATGATCAATACCACCACAGCTCGTCCCACTTATTTTACCATTTTTCCATCAGAAGCGTATCCCGCCTCCAACAGGAACTGCGGCATCTGCGTAGTCTTGCCAGAGCCCGTTTCCCCCACAAGTAGCGTCACTTGCGACTTCTTCACCAATTTGAGGAAGTCGACTTTCTCCCGCCAGCAAGGCAGCTGTTGCCGCTTCTCGAGAATCTCATAGTACCGTTTCGAATAGGGCGCTCCCGTCAAAGGATTGGTCCCCTCGGGAACATCCACGACGGCGGCCTCAGGGTCTGCCGGACGATCCCAGTTAGAGGACCTCTTCCCACTGCCCGACTCGACAGCGGCACCTCCAGTTTGATCGTAGCCTCGCTTCAAGTCTACACGGGTGCGCATGAGGTTAAGGAGAACGATAAAGAGGAGAAGCTGTGGAGAAACGACATAGCTCGACACAACGGGCGAGAACTATTCTCTGCCGGATGCTTCTAAGCAGCGTCGCGGCTTTGACTCTCATGAACTCAAATGAACTATTTCCGAATACAGAAATATGTTTGTGCCTGTCCCATCTACTGAGGAGGCCTTCGAATAGGCCTATGATATCTATGATTGTTGCGTCGCGCCGCCCCAGGATGAAGTCGCACAGTACTATACGACCTTATGCCTGTGGTTTACCTGCCATCCGAAGCCGACAAGTTTTACGGCTTGTGAGGGCCTCCCGCAAGCCGATAGCACTACCGTCCTGTCATACCTCAACGAGCAGAATTCCAAGCAGTACTAAAAATTAAAGGAGAATCTCGCTCGCCCTGGGTTTCGACGAAGATTAAACGAGGGAAATACATATTGAGGGCTTTTTTGGAAACAGCCAATTATCACGATAACATGATACACCCAGCCATGCAAAACAACAAATCGTCTTAATCTGTCTTATTCTGCGAGCCGGGGCAAGTATTGAGCAGTCAGACTTCGTCAGCTGACCGCCGCTCCACTGCTTGGGTCAGTCTTCGGCAGGCGGACAGCTGGGCGTTTTACGGCTCACCGAGCCAACTCGAGGTCGAGAGTCAGCGCTAGTGGTCACCGCTTCTGTGCTGCCGCCCTGGCTTCAAGCTTCGGTCCTGCGGGCCATCCACTCCTTGGGTACTTCTTTCCAGGCTTGACTCTGAAATACTGACTGGGAAATACATATTGAGGGCTTAAACACCGGAGGTTGGTTCTTCAGGAACTATCGCAGAATCAGGCAGAAGATGGTCTCCCCAGAGAGTCATCCACTCTACCTAGTGAGGATACCCCTGTCTGTGGCTGCGGCCACTGGTATATAATGTGCATGACTTAGATGCGCACTGTCAAACTTGTGTGCGTATTGTCAAACTTGTATGGTTTATTGTCATTCTTGATTGTGATATATTCTGTCAGTGTCAACATGAATTCTCATCGTCAAACTTGGTTGTAACAAAAAAAGACAAGTGACAAACTTGGATTCTAATGGTCAATCTTGATTGTAACGAATTTAGATTGTGACAAACTTGAATTCTCAAAGTCAAACTTGCTTGTAACATTGTCATTCTCGTCTGCTCACTTGTCAAACTTGCACGGGAAGAGGTGTAGATGCGGCATGGATACATCTTCAAGATTGTATATGAGAGAGGATCTATGATTGTGTCGCATTATAGGAACTAGATGGGATGGTTCGCATGCCATGTAATCCGTAGCCATCTGGCTCAAGTATTGTATTTTTGCTCCGCATCACGTCTAGTCGTGTTGAAGTACAGCTGAAGGACCCTAGGATGGCCGAACACAACGACGGTGTCCAGCGGAGCGGTGCACTCCATGATATGCCATAATAATTGAGACTTGTCATCCATCTACAACCTAGACTGCCGAGAGGTCTCCGTGAGGTTGCCCGGGAGAGGTTCAGAC